GAAGACTGGAGGCATTTCTCTTTCTCTACAGACCTCTGTACGTTGTTAAAGGCAAAACCTTTGTTTTGCTTTAAAATTCTCACCTCCTGTGAGCCCTCCTATGTTCCCTGCAAGCCTCAGCAAGTCTCATTTATTCTCATTAGTCCATGAGGGAAAAAAGCCTCACACATTTCCTTAAAATAGGAGATTTCACAGAAATCATCTATGTTCTACATCGGCTCCAGCTTATCCGGTAAGTTTTGATCTTGGAAATAAAACACCAGCAGGGGCAGGGCTACTAATTTTACTCTCTCGTCATGCACATTTCTTCTTAAGAGATAAAAAAATGCTCAAGTAAAAGTTTGGAACTCTTCGGTGATTGTTATTAAGTTAAGAATTCAGTGATTTAGAACTCTGACAAATTAATTTTAAATTTTGAAGAACAACTTTCTGGTTTCTTGGATCTGGTCTCAATTTTGAACCTCGTATAGTTTTGAAAAGGCAACAAATCTGGCTTATGGTGGATATTTATTTGCCCTACAGAGCGATTGTCAATACCATGTAAGAAATGGGTGACCGACTGACTTTGCATAAAAACATTGTAAGGAATAAACAAGTAATACATAGATACGACATAGGTCCTCCATTCATTAAATGTTTCACAGTACTGTAAGTCAGCATCTGAGACACATGACAGAAAGCCATCAGTTAGCATGGCTACTGCAAATTGTCCTTTCACAAAAAAGCATTTGGCAGCAGCTTTGACAGAGATCTCCTTGTCACACACATCCCAAAACTCAAAAACCTTACTTCACTAAATAAATCCAGCTAAAAGTCGTAAGCAATGTAGCACTTCACTGCTACCATACAGAAATAGATCCAAACATAAAACCATCTGTTTCCTAAGGAAAAAAACAAATCCCACACACAGTTTAGCACCTTCTCCATCTCTTCATAGTCTGTAGTTAAGTTTTTAATTTTTTAATTCAACTGTAAGTTAGCAGAACCATATTCACAATTAAATTAGCTTTTCCAACTCCAAACCAACAGCTTAATCCATCATTTTCAGAAATGCCTCCTACTCAAACTGTAAGTCAGAAAAAGCTTATTATCCATAGATTTGGCTTTGCATTCAAAATCTGAGTGACAGACTCTCAATATCCTTAAACTGGAGCTTTGCAAAGTTCCCTTAAAGAGTGCAAAGTAAAAATGTGACTATAGCTATTAAATTATCCTTAGTGTATGATGTTCTTGTGGGGCATGCTAACTACCTAGTAACACTTGACCTTGTTTCGCAGAAAAGTTTTTTTCCATAGATTAATTTGCATCTAAAGTAATTTTATAACTGGCCTTAGGAAAGGTCTTCTAGGATTCATCCAACTAAGCTCTTAATTATGATACATTTTTGTAGTATTTCTTCACGACACACTGCGTTCCCAGAAAGTTAAAGATCATATAGCATTGAATTATGAAGTACGCAACACATACGAGACTTCATTGCACATCTACATATATGCGTGTAACTACTCCAACAGGTTTTGTCTGATACAGCCTGCCTTTCGCAAAAAGGCAAATCACTTTTAATCAACTGTTAATTCAGAATAGTCTTGAACACACAAAACCAACCTGGGGAGTACACAATTCAGCTTCATTGCATTATCCAACACTTCTTTAAAAGCTTTATTGATGATTTCTTGATAACGGCACTCAATACTTAAGAGTGTGCCTGTTGACAGATATTTACGTAAATCCTCTACAAACATCTTGGCTAAACTAATTTGCATCTAAAGTAATTTTATAACTGGCCTTAGGAAAGGTCTTCTAGGATTCATCCAACTAAGCTCTTAATTATGATACATTTTTGTAGTATTTCTTCATGACACACTGCGTTCCCAGAAAGTTAAAGATCATATAGCATTGAATTATGAAGAACGCAACACATACGAGACTTCATTGCACATCTACATATATGCGTGTAACTACTCCAACAGGTTTTGTCTGATACAGCCTGCCTTTCGCAAAAAGGCAAATCACTTTTAATCAACTGTTAATTCAGAATAGTCTTGAACACACAAAACCAACCTGGGGAGTACACAATTCAGCTTCATTGCATTATCCAACACTTCTTTAAAAGCTTTATTGATGATTTATTGATAACGGCACTCAATACTTAAGAGTGTGCCTGTTGACAGATATTTACGTAAATCCTCTACAAACATCTTGGCTAAACAAAAAAAAAAAAAAAAAGAGTAAGTACTGCTGTGACAGAGTACTTTCAAAAGAATTTTTAACTCCCTGTTTAATGACAGAATTTATTTCTGAGGAATATACATTTATAATTTCCTCTATACTCATTTCCCTTTTATATTTTCTTTCTTAAAGTCAGCAGTGCCCAGAATTTATTCATGTAAGCTCTCAAATTGATTTATGTTAAGTGACTAGGCACCAATATTTCTGGATTCTGTTACAAGCTTCTTCCTTGTCTTGTCATATAACTTTGATCAAAGTCAGTTACACTCAAGATTTTAGGTGTCTCTACTTTTGGTTATTCATGCTTAGAAACATGGAGTGTCATCTCCAAAAGTAATGAGTACCTAACAAGTTCATCTGAAGCTTTAGGTGTTCAGCAAATCTGGAGTAAAACAGATCCAAAGGCTGAAGACTCAAAAAGTCTCGAGGCATGCAAAAGTCATTGATACCTCTTAAGGCAGATGTGATATTAATGATGGGAAAGGAAGTTTGTACAGAACCTCCCTAATGATGGGGCATGAAGCACACACCACACCAAGCAGATTAATGAGGGGAAAAAAAATACAGAGCTTCAATTCCCTTAATATTTCTCTTTCCTGTCACCTCCAAGGCATCTGCATCTGACTTGTAAAATCAGGTCTTGATGTCTTTATGTGTCATGTTTTTATCTAAGAGAGTATAGTAATATGCATCTGTATCATGTCATGCAGACTTTCCAACATTTGCAATGTGAATTCTGAAGGCTGCAAGACCTTGTATAAACACACACTATTGTCAGCTTCCAGCCTCTGTGCCAGATCCCAGATTTCAGGTAGTCAAAATACAGTGTTTACAAATGCAAACAGTAATGACGTATCCAGGGTCCTTCTCAAAAATCCTCATACAAACAAGACCAGACATACAGACCTGGTCCCAGTACAAGGGAGATATGGACATACCAGAGGGAGTTCAAAAAAAGGCCGTGAAGATGATGAAGGGACTGGAGCATCTCTCCTAGGAGGAAGGGCTGAAAGAGCTGGGACTGTATAGCCTGGAGAAGAGAGGGCTCAGGGGGAATCTCATCAATGTATATAAATGCCTGATGGAAGGAAGACAAGGGAGCCAGGATCTTCTCAGTGGGGCCCAGCAGCAGGAGAGGGCAAAATGGACGCAGCTTAGTACACACAGAACTCCATGTGAACATAGCAAAGCACGTTTTATTGTGAGCACGGTCAGACACTGGGGTGGGCTGCCCAGAAAAGTTCTGGAGTCTCCATACTTTGAAGTATTCCAAACCCACCTGGACATGGTGCTGGGAAAGCTGCTCTGGCTGACCCTGCTTGGGTCAGGGGCTGGACCCCTTCTCAAGAGGTCTCCTCCCACCTCAAGCATTCTGTGGTTCTCTGAGAAGGCAAACTGCGCCCCTCTGCCTTTCCTAAGGAGCAGGCAGCATGAACAGGCCTCAGCCGGCAGGCATCAGCAAAGCCAACACGCGTCCTGCAAGACCCCTGCACGGAGAACCAGCAGCACCGACGCTAGAAATGTTTCTAATCCCAGCGGAGGCCGCGCTGTAGCACAACAAAACCCAGCCTTCCCTCCGCCGGCGTCAACTACGGGCCTCTCTCCAGTGCTCATCCTCACACTCTCAGGTTGCTCCAGACCTTAATATGCTGGAAAAATATATTCATAGGTCAAAAAAA